GCGCTGGCCCTTCACTTCCAACGGTGGGGCTTCTTACCAAATCAATGGTAAGATAGTAACATCTAAAGGAGGAGAAAAATAATAAATACCTTTTGAGTAGGTAGGACGCTCGTAGTTGCTTGCTCACAAACTAAAACCATTTCCACACTTACACTTTTAAAACATCTTTAAAAAACAAACATCTCTTTGAACTATTTTCAAAACCAACATTTTGTATACATTCTTATAGAGACGAGAATCATTACAAAGTTTTCCGAAACAAAGTAGTTTTCAAAATATTTTCAAACTTGCACCCATCACAACACATATTTTCAAACAAAGCATTTTCAAGTGATCAAGCAACTAAGAGCCCGTAGATAACTACATATGAAAAAGGTACTAACACCTTCCCTTTTCATAACCTACCCCCCGAACTCAAGAAAATATCTCAAAAGGTATTTCCTGTTCTTTTCACCCTTTCCTTTATTGGATAAAAGAAAAGTCGGTAACGACTCTTGCTATCCGCAACAACTGCGATAAAATGAAAAACACCTAAGTCAGTTCTCCCACCGTATTACACAAGGCATTGTAGTATTGGAGAAGCTCTCCCTATTTTATATATCTTTTCTGAGAAAAATATGTCCTTAGCAGCCTACTCTTGAATGATCCTTGCTTCTCACTCGTCTAGTGGGAATTCGTCCGACTGTAGGTAACGCAATATGGGCGATATCCAGTTGGAATCAAAGATAACTTCCAAGGAGTACACCTCGTCCGCCTCAATCTTGGGGGAGGCGAGAGTCTCTTGGATAGGTGGTAAGTTTGGACATAAGGTCTGTTATGAAGTTATGTTCATAGGGAACATGTTCTATTTCAAAGGAAATAAAACGAGAGGACATATTTTGTAACTTTTGCAGATATCTTATTAGTTGGGGCTCTTTTGTCTAGTACTTCATAGAGACTTGGTTGGAAACCAATCAAGAGTCTCTCTTTGCTTTTAGTATAAAGGCTCATATTTCTAAGGCGAGATCCATATCAGAAATAATGGACTCATATTTTACTTGATTGTTGATGGTCATGAATTCAAACTTCACTGATTGCTCAATGAGTATGTCGCAAAGTCCTTCTAATCCGGTAATGGATACGGGTCCTTGGGATAAATGACGTTCAGGTTGGAGAAGTCCACGCACATGCGTCACCCGTTGTTTGCCTTTCTTACCAACACCATATTGGCTAACCAAGTAGGATACTTTGTTTTCATAATGAACTCGACTTCAATAACTTGCCTACTTCCTCGTTAATAGCGACCCTCTTTTCCTCGCCAACTTTCTGCTTCCTCGGTACTAATGGATTGGAAAAGGGGTGGATAACGAGGCAACAACTCACCACTTTAATATTTATCCCGCACACACCAGAGGGGACTCAGGAAAACAAGTCAACATTTTTAATGAGTCGGTTGACTACCTCGTATTCTTCTTCCTCGGTAAGCAAAGTACCTATCTTTGTCACCTGATTGGTCGAAAGGCCTATATGTACCTCTTTCAAGTCCTTAGTGGGCGCGAGTCTTTCAACGTGCGCACCTAACCTGGGATCCCAACCATCGAGGTCCGCATATGAGATTTCAGGAGGGGAGCGCCGACAAGGGAAAGCTCTTCCTTTTTTTTTGCCTAGTTATTCTGATAGCATTCTTGAGAGATCTGGTGGTCTCCTCGAATCTCGACGACTATCCCTTTAAGCAGCGGGTATTTCAGGACCAAGTACTGGGTGGAAAAAACCGTCCATAGTGCATTGATGGGGGTGAGCAAGGATGGTTTTATATTGTGATAGGGCATCCACAATAAGGCAGCTAACGTCAATCGCCTTGGCTTCTGCTCCCTCGCCACATGTTGTCTCTAAGGTCACATGACCCCTTATTTATACTTGTTCGCCTGTCAATCCTATTAATGAGCCAATGAACACTCAGACAACGTTAGGATCAAGTTGCAATTTTTGGAAAACCTCCAAGAACAAATGTTAGCAAAGCTTCCAGGGTCTATCAAGACCCACTTGATATCTTAGTTGTCATGTTACACATTGATTCTAACATTGTCCCTATCAGAGAAGGTGGTGTTAATCCGTGTTTCCCTTCATTTGCTTTTAGGGAAATTCGGAGATATCACATTTGTAGTAAGCACCTGCCTTGTGTATTTCTTTCGGGAGGAGTTGGAACAACCCCCACCAACAAAATCTTCAGGTATGGTGTTTGAATTAGCGCGTAGAGTTTTGTTGGCCATCTTCGGAGGAAAGATGGAAATAATGAGAATGAAAGGTGTGGTCCAAATTAATTTTAATGTGACTCTACGGTGGGTGCCATTGTACCGGTCAAAAAGTACAAATTTTGGATTGTTTGCTTTTATTCGTAACACCAAACAGATTCTGATTTGGAGGAACTCAAAATTTGTATTGAATAAGTGTTTTGAAAGACTTAGATAGTCTAAATATTTTTATGTTATTATAATATTCTAAAAATTAAAATACAATAATGATAAACATTCATTTATTATTTTATATAATATTATTTTTTTGAAAAATATCAAATATTTTTCTATATTTTTAAAAAATTCATTTTTAAAAGTCTTTCTTTCCGCTCACCTCTAAACTCGCAAACAAATCTTCAATGTTTTGGTTGATAGTTAACTTTAGAGTGGGCTTTGAAATGTTTCGGCCCAAGGAATACGAAGCCATCGACGAGGAAATGGCGTGAATGAAATGAACCAATGCGAACAGTCCCAAAATACTCTCATCATCATTCATTCCTAGGTTGTTCAGTGAAGTGCAAAACCGTTAACCATGTCTCCCGGTCCTATTGTTGACGCTTCCACCGACGGAATCGCCGACCAACAACTTCCTTCCGTCGACGAAACAACCCTCAAGAAGGCACCTCTTCCACAGGTTTCCCCATTTCCATCCTATTCCATATATCTATCCTCTATTTTGTTTCCTCTAATTTCCTTCTACGATCTGTTTTTTTACTTAGGAAGAAAACGATGCTCCTATTGTCGAAGATGACGACTACGACGAGAAAGATGAATCTGACGACGAAGAAGATGACGCCGCTCAAGGTACAACCATTATTCCTATTGTCTATAGTTTGAACATTGTTTAATATGGTCACCAATTTTAGGGTTATAATTATGGCATATAGGGTTTTTTGACCTAGACATATCACAATGTATGTATCTTAAATTGCAAATATTGAATACATATGTGACATTTGATGTTGCCTTTTGATTTGTTTGATTGCACTTTGAGATGCAGGTGGTACTGAAGGTTCAAAACAGAGTAGAAGTGAGAAGAAGAGTCGCAAAGCAATGTTGAAGCTGGGACTAAAACCAATTGATGGTGTTAGTAGGGTAACAATCAAGAGAACAAAAAATGTGAGTTGCTATACTTGAACTAATTCTTATTGTTCGATCAGTGTTGTCAAATAGCAGCTATAGTAATGCTATAGGATAGCGGAACTTGAACCAACTGTGATACACATTTAGTATCAAGTTTTGTCACTTGTCAGATAGCGGCTATAGATAGTGGTGCTATAATGTAGCAGAGTTTGAACAAACCGCCAATGTTCCACCATACACTATTTAGTACATAATGTTGTCAAATAGAGGCTATAAAGCGGCACTATAGCACTGTACTACAACAACCAAGCCTTATCCCACTAAGTGGGATCGGCTACATGGATCAAGTTTCTTTTGCCATAATGTTTTATCCATGACCATGCTTCTATCCATATCGTTAATTTTTTATGTCTTTCTTAATAACTATGTTACAATATACCACAGCTAATTTTAACAAACCGCCGTGATCCGCGACCGACAACATTGTTTAGTAAAAAATGCTGTCACATAGCGGTGCTAATATCATAACTTAGTGAAATTTGGTCAAACCACTGATATATATATATATATATATATATATATATATATATATATATATATATATATATATATATATATATATATATATATATATATATATATATATATATATATATATATATATATATATATATATATATATATATATATATATATTATTCTTTCTGTGATCTATGATGGGTAACGGGGTTTCTAACTTAATTATTTTATACCTTGTTAGATAATGTTTTTCATCTCAAAACCTGATGTCTTCAAGAGTCCAAATTCTGAGACCTACGTTATATTTGGGGAGGCAAAAATAGAGGACCTGAGCTCTCAATTGCAGACACAAGCTGCTCAACAGTTCAGGATGCCAGATATGGGATCTATTATGGCAAAACAAGAACAGGGTGCTATAGCTGATGGAGCACAGCCTGAAGAGGAAGAGGAGGTTGATGAAACTGGCGTGGAAGCCCATGATATTGATCTGGTCATGACACAGGCAGGAGTGTCAAGAAGCAAGGCCGTCAAGGCTCTCAAGACTCACAATGGAGATATTGTCGGTGCCATCATGGAGCTAACTAATTAATTTTGCTTTATGCTTTATTTGTCTTTGCATTTTTGGGATGATTTTGGAACTGGTTTCATCCTTAAATGAGTCTAGTCAAATAATACTATGGTCCATATGATTTGGCTTACCTAATAATTTTTGTTGTGCTCTGAATTTTGCGGTACGGCTTGATGATCAATGATCACATTTTTTGTTATATTTGAGCTTCTATTTTGTTGTCCAAATAGATATCGTGGCAAGGTTTAACCTGCATGAGCTCATATCCTGCGATTTTTGGAAATTCTTCTAGTGCCTTGAAATGTTGATGGGATTAATTTGAACTATTTTTCAAAATTACGTAAGATACTTTTGTAATTAACAAGATAAAAATGCATTATGATTGCCAATTAAAGAGCCACAATCAACCAACAGATGAATGCCAATTACAAATACACAGAAAAGAAACAAAATCAAAGTTGTTTGCTTTGTAATAAAGCAGGCAAAACCCGATGAAACACACCATAGAATTTGTAAATCTTTACTGCTGCTGGAACTTTAATAGACCAACACCATATCTAGCTATTGACCACCCTGCAATTTGTTCGAATCTCCCCAGCATTGCCTGTTAAGACGCCAATTCTTCCCATCTTCACCATTGCATCTGCAAACTTGTTTGCCCACAGATAGGGATTCCTAGCATTTTGATTAACTTGTCTGGCTGTTCCAGTGGTAGTTAAGAGAGTCTGATCAGATGTGAATAAGCCTCTATTTGCCAAGATATCAATATAGTATCCCACATCTGCAGTTCCAGGGCTAGAAGGGTCCATTGGTACCACCAAGTTTTGGTTTGTGCTTCCTTGTGGACATTGCCTTTTCAACAGCGCAACATATGAGGGATGTAAACTTGGATCCTGCCTTGAAGTGCTGCTGAAGTTGTATAATCTGTTGCTGAAAGCAGAGCAATGAGCGCGTCCAATGGTGTGTGCTCCTGCATACACAAAAGTGTGTCATTTACAGATTTATGCTACAAGATCAAACCCCTTCTTTGCAATAATTGTCTTGAAATACCTACCAGAGAGAGTGACCATTTCATTTTGTGTTAACCCCTTCTTTGAAAAGAGTTGAGTGAGTTGGTTAACATTGAAAGTAGGAGGAGGTAAATCTGTTCTTGTATCTGAAGCTATTGATATTTTCCCATCTCTTCTTCCTGCAGGAACATCATAGCCTAGCCCTCCAGCCTGCATATGATGTAGGGTCATTTTGAAATAAGTATTTACCTTCAAAAGTTTCTAGCACAAAGTAGATGGACTTACCAACTCTACACTATCTCTTGCTGCAAATGCAACTATGTCGGCGCATGAAACAATTCCCTTGCATACTTCTTCAAGTTTAGCTTTGGCAGTATCAATAACTTCAAACCCTCTGAGACTCGGTTTATTGGCTGGAGAGTCTTTCTCTGCTGTGTTAGAGGGAGTCGAATCAAGAAGTACCGATGCATCACACCCCTACAATTAACAACACGATTAAAATTAACGACTAAGATGATACCAGCTATGATCTCTATCTTAATCAAGTATTATTATGACTGTATTATGACTTACTCTGATAAAGCAATCATGAAAATGCATTCTTACAAGTCCAGCAGCAATTCCAGGATTCTTATAGAAACTTTTTCTAACCTCATCTTTTACAATGAACTCCGCCATACCACATGAATTGCTATAAAACCCAACATCCAGCTGAGAATAAACACTTTCATTCAAAAAATATGTGACCAAGACTATAATTGCATAGTTAAGTTTTTTGAGATACATTTTCACTGAGTACTATATCTGTTCTTGTTAAGGTTATGACACAATTATAGCCTATTTATACGTAGAAATACAATGATTAATGGGATTATTCTATACTTAGTGCCATGTATTAAGGAAAAATGCTGAAAGTCATTATTATTTGATGATCAAGAATGCATGTGATTGAGGAGAGATATAGGAAAGGACAAGAAGAACAATTTGGATTCAGTTGTTATAGGATAAGCAATAATACATTTTAGTTGACTTTGAGTGCATGAAAATCCAAATTAGTAGTTAAAGTTGAGTAGATTAGTAAATATAATACTCAAAAGCTGTGTTAGATAGTTATGTTATGGTGACTTAGTTAGAATCTGAGAAAGAAAGCATGCATTAGGCAAAATGATTAACAGATTTAAGCATTAGATATTTTATTGATTTTCTTTAAGTCTCACTTTAAGAGTAGTTATGTGTTTTCAAAACCATTATTGGCCATGAGTCAGTTTTTCCTTAATTGGATTAGGTGGTGATTTTCAAAAGGGAAACCAAAACCTTAAAGGAGTGTCGTTGTTTGAATTTGGAAAGACATTCAGACACCACCTGCTTTCATTGATTGTTCTACAACTTCCACTCAAGTACGCATCTTGGATGATGATCATATAATATTTTTGTTAAGTCTCAACTTTTGTAGCAGTAGAAGCAAACTAATAATTTGATGAACTCAAAAGTTCAAATTAAAATATTAAGTCTAACTTATGTGGTATACAATCAATGCAAAAATGTCATGATGTAATAATATAGTAATGGATACTAGAAAAGTAAAGGAGGTAAGGGAAAAAGAAAATATACACAACGATATATAGTGGTTTAATTGTCATCCTTGCATTGTCTAATTCACTCTTCAATGGTGTTAAAAATCATTGAAAAATAATCACGATCTTTCACTATTTTAATAAGTTTGATTACAACATTTTGATTACAACGAACTATCATACGATAATTCTCTCTGATGATGCATGCTAACAAAAGTCAAGATCACTAAGGATCTTGATTCAATGATCTTCACATGCACAATAGTTCTACTCTAAGAATTCATGTGTAGCTATCAACCCCTTGATCCGACCAATTTCTTATTCTGAGCGATTGTCATGGTTAAGTATATATTGGACAACTTCCAATTTTGTCTGCGAGCAATCTTTCTTCAACGCCACCAAAGATAGATTACTTTTGTCCCCGCTTTAAGGACAATTGATACTTGATCTCGCCAAAGTGTTTTTTTGGAGTATAATGAAAACTCTATTCTTGGTGAATAACAACAAACATCAAAGTGCATCCAAGAAACAATACATGCATCTGTTACAAACATCAAACTTCACACAAAAACATTAGTAATTCTAATGTGCCACTAGTCTCCCTCAACGCTCAATCTTTAGAGATGAAGTTCCTCAACATAGGAACAAGACTAAGAAGGAAGATGATGAGCAGTGCCAGAATATCTCATAATAGTCTACAAACACAAGGTGTTAGTCAAGTGTTTTAGATAAAGGTGAATGGAGAATACACACACAAGATTCTCTCAAGTTTCTAGATGAATGGGTCTTAGATTTGATTGTTATTAAAAAATTGATTAATCATAAACACACACAAGATTAATCAACCCCCCTCTCTAGTTCTCTCAAACACAACAACAAATTGTACAAGAGCAAGATACAACAAAAAAAGATAAGTTCAATCAAGGCCGTCTCAAATAAGTTGGAGACTCTATTCGAATTTTAAAAATCGACCCCCTAAAAAAGGTAGATGAAAAATTCAAAAAGAGTCATTTTTTATATTAATTTATATTAAAAAAATGATTAAACCTTAAAAATATAAAAATAAAATTAATTCATTAAAGTTTTATAAAATAAAAAAATTAAAATATATTGACTTAAGAATCTGTTATGAATTTAAAAGAATTATAAAAAAATCATTTGTTGTTGAAAAAAAAAATGAAATTAATACTTTAAGATTTTATAATAAAATATAAAATAACGTTAATGATTTAAAGTTTTGTTATAAAAAAAATGTTAAAATGTTAAAATTTTATTATAAAATATAAAATGAAATTAATACTTTTAAGTTTTGTTATAAAATCAAAATGTGAAAAAAATATTGCAAGCTTTTGTTACAAAATCAAATTGTGAAATGTTTAAAATTTTGTTATAAAAAATAAACTAAAATAAATGTTTTAAGGTAGGTTTTGTTACAAAATCAAAAACTGTGAAAATGAAATTAAATTGTACAAATTTTAATATTTTATTATAAAATATAAAAGGAAATTAACTCTTTTAGATTTTTATAAAATCAAAATATGAAACAAAAATATGTAAGGTTTTGTTACAAAATCTTTAAGATTTTGTTATAAAAAATAAACTGAATTAAATGCTTTAAGGTAGGTTTTATTATAAAATTAAAAAAAAAAGTGAAAATCAAGATCTACATAGGGAAGAAATCGATTTTTTTTAGCAATAATAAGGCATCGGAAAAAAAATACACAAATAATCATATTTCAGAGAAAATTACGCAAATAACCATGTTTCAAAAAACAATTAAACAGAGGAGTCAATTCAGATGACACATCCTCTTTATTTTTATATGGAGGCGTCAAGTGAGATGACGCATAGGTGCAACGTGTTTTCCCCAAGCCATCTCAGATGACGTCTAAGCGCTTTTAACTCCTAATTTTTCTTTGCTTTCTATTTTAAATAAGAGACAATAGCTAAACGATATAGCTTAATGAAAGTTTGATTTTTCAATAACAAATGAACGATTACATAATGAATAAAATTGTTGCATATTATTTAGTTATCTCCAGGAACTCGGTAACGATTCGTGGTTCTGCACCCGCGTTCCCGTCTAACTCGTGGTGGGTTTCGTTGATTTTCCTATTGCGGTTGAGTAAATGACTTAACGAAGTCAATGTGTTCAGGATCCACGAAATCTGTCAGATCACCATATCTGAAAGACCCGCTTTGGTACAACCGATTACCCATGCCCTCAAAGTTTGGTCGTCTTGGTGGGGGGTGGGGTTCCATGGATGGTCGATAACACTGGTCGTTTGAGTAAGGGGGGTAAAAAGGAAACGAATCTTGAGGTGTTTGGTCTTGCGATTGTTGGGTGTTATGGTGATGTGGTGGTTGATGGTAAGTTGAGTCGGTTGGGTCATATTCTTCAAGAAAGCCTAGATCTGGGCTAAGGTGAGATGATGATGGGCCCATATCGGGATGTTCAGAATACTAGAATTGTGTGTGGGGCATGTAGGTATATTGGTATTGAGATTAGGATTGGGGTTGCCTGTGGGGCATACGGGTGTTTGTGGATCTGTATTATCGTGGTGTTTGGTAGAAGGTTGATGTGCATTGGGTTTGTTGTTGGGGATTTGAGGGTTGTGTCCATTGTGCTCGTGGATCGATCAAATACCTCGAGTGAGACACGTGCATTTCTGGGTTAGTAACTGATCTGTACCAATCAAAATACTGATTTATGTGTTGCATATTATCTTAGTTGAGGAAAACAAGGAATTGTAAGACATGTTGGTGACGCCTATGCCACATCATACACCATTATGGAGCAAAATCTTTCTAATTAGTAAGACCCCATTGGGCGTCAACCCTTTTGAGATGCCAGGGTGACAAACAAGTTGGATTGCATGGTATCTCTTAATGCATTCCGAACTGCATCTTGACACGGTCGCTGTGGTGAATCTCCACAATGTTGAACAGTATGATTGAAGTCTTTGCAGTCCAAAATGTTACACCCTCGGGGTTGGGTTCATGGTCCAAACCCAAATATGGTCTCCAGATAAACTGTGGATAAAAATTAATAAGAATAATGAAAACGTAAAAAATAAATAATTTAAAAGTAGAAAAGTTCAAAGGTACCACATACATTATCCGGGCCAAGGTGATCCAATAGATTACGATATAGAGCGACATTGAATCTTGGATTCTTGCCGTAATCCATACCCATTACACAGTACCTAAAGGAATAAAAAAATAGTTAATTTTATATATTTATTTGGAAAAAGGATGAATAATAAATTATTTAATTTCTTGACTTACTTTGTTGCGTATGGGAAAATGAATGCATTGTTGTTGACCGAGTTTAGGGACTCCATTCTCCACCAACCCCATACTTGAAGTAAGAAAGCGCATCTATAGAAACTTACAAACGCTGCAATGTTGTCTCTTGTGCCTCTGTGAGAATCGCTCATTGTGAGAAAAATCGTATTTGAAATTGTATAAGACAATGAAAGAGTTTGTATCAGAGAGTGTGATGATTGGTGATGTAAAACAAGTGTCTCAGGCGCCATATTTATAGGAGAATTTGTATAAGAGTGAACTAATGAGGTGGTTAGGGGTTGCATGCATGCAGAATACGTGTCATGCTGGAGCCAAGTCAATGGCGCCTACATGCATTTTAGAGAGCATGCACCAATCAGCTTGGCATGGGACATGCCTACATGTAGAGTAGGTGGTAGTATAGGTGTAGTGTAAGATGGCAGCATAGGGACAATCTTATACGCATGCATGTAATGTGACATGACTAGTAGGGATGCGCCATCCCAAATGGAGAATAAGACCAAAATTAAGAGAATTCGCCATCCCAATTGGCGAATCACTGGTGGAGCATTTTTGTCTTGTTCAAGGCAAATGAAACTTATTTATCCTACATGCATCCAATGTTATCAACACTCAAACATTCAAACACCAAACACAATATCCTCTACACCATGTAAGTTCAGATGCGCCTAAGAGGGGGGGGGGGGGGGGGGGGGTGAATTAGGTTCTTTAAAACTTTTTCTGAATTGTATGAATATTTTTGCACGAGTTTCTTTTCTTTCTTTTTCTGATAAGTGATGAAAGCAGTAAATGCGGAAAGTAAAGAACACAGAGATGTATCCTGGTTCCCCTCACAATCCGAGAGTACTCCAGTCCCTTTTCAACATGAAAGAGATTTCCTTATAGTTGGTAATTTGTACAAAG